CTGTATGTAGTCATGCTCCCCTGCATCCTTCGAAGAACTTGAATATTCTCGATCATTCTTATCGCCACCGATTTTTAGCAGAAATGGCTACAATACTTGCATCTCCAAATTTACATTTTAATCATCATCCTCTTTTTTCTTCTTGTTCCTCTTCATCTTCATCTCCTGTTTTGTTGTCTTTGATTTGTTGGTCTTCTAACGCTCAGCCTTTTGCATTATCTTCTCAAAATTCCAGTTTTCTCAGTTCAGGGTTTAGGTCCCATGAAATTGTGTTCGTCAGAAATAGCACGGGAAAATCAATGGGGGTTCGAATGTCGTGGGATGGTCCTCTCTCTTCAGTTAAATTGATTATTCAAGGCAAAAATTTAGAGGTATACTCTGTTTTCACTTTTAGCTTAAGATATTATCTTTTGATTGTTTGCCGACTGTTAGAAAAGAGAATGGAAAGAAGAACGAATGTTGTGAGTCCCAGTTTCTTGATTTCTTCTATATTTATTGGAAAGAAAGGACAATCTCTGAAAGAAATCGAGTGAAGTAAATTATTAAAGTTTAATTTGCTGGTATCGTGATGAATTGAACAAAGAGGTGAAAAAGCATTAGCTAAGCCGACTAAAAGTTTACTGAAAAAATGGTTTAGTTTGTTGTTGCTGCTGTTTTTGCTCGAGTGGATGTTTTCCTGTGGATTGTGGAACAACCGCTCACTTTATACTCAGATTGTGAGTTCCTTTTTTCCATTTTGCATAGAGTTTGATGTTATACACTTTTTGTTGGTAGTTTGTTGAAAACTTGCCAGATTAATGTTGTTATTATTTTGTGTTAGCTCTAAATAATGATATTTTTTCTTTACCACCTATGGAAGATATTAAATCAGGCCGTGTTGTGTATATACAGTTAACACCAACAGTGAAGGACCATGTGGAAAAGAAGTTGGGTAGGGCAGTTCAAAAGCATAGCCACTTGGTGAGGGAAGTGGATGTTAGACTATCGATGCGCGGTGGTGAATTGGGGAAAGGACCCAAAGTTCGTAGATGTGAGGTGCGTGCATGTGCTTATGTGAAATTAAAAACCTAAACTTTTGATATCTTTGGTTGTTTAGTTTGACATCTTTAACGGGCAATTGAAATTCTAGGTGACTTTGTTTACAAAGAAGCATGGAGTGATCAGGGCAGAGGAGGATGCTGAGTCACTTTACGGGAGTATTGATTTGGTGTCATCTATTATACAGAGGAAGTTGAGGAAAATTAAGGAGAAAGATTCGGATCATGGTCGCCACATGAAGGGTTTTGATAGGCTAAACGTTAGGGACCATGGTGTGCTGGTAGCAGTTGATGATTTAGCAGTGGCTCCTCAAGAAGAAGAGGGGGAGGATGTCATTGATGAGGTTGTCTCTTCTCCCTATTATTTCCGAAAATTTTCGTATTTTACAAATTACTTCTTTGTGTTGATTTGTTAAGATTTCTACCGGTAATAAGAAAGGATAATCTGATGAGTCGTTGCATCTCCTTTTCTTTGTTGTCTAATCTTTCTTTTAAGTTTTTGTATTCTCCTCATTGATAAAAAAGGGGGAAAAGGAGGCTTGTCATCCCTTTCTTTCCAGCAAAAAAGGGAAACAAGTGAACGAAACAATAAATACCCATCTTTTTTAGGATAGTTGTAAACTCTAATATTATGCTTGGTAAGGTAGATTAGATAGCACCGAACAATATTAAAAGAGAAAATTAAATTAAAATCTTTTTTCGCTGTAGGTTCTAGTATGGCCAAATACTATACATCAAATGTACATTCAATTGCCAGTATCTCATATATCATCTCGCCTTTCAGATTGTTCGCATTAAATACTTTGATATGCCACCCTTAAGTGTTGCTGAGGCAATCGAGCAGCTTGAAAATGTTGATCATGACTTCT